AAGAAATTTCCAAATAGATTTAGTTAATTTTGAGGAAAGAAAGATTGAGCTAAGATATAATTGCATAAGTGTGTTTTCAAGTGAAAAAGAAAAGGTAAACATGATGAAGATACATTTTCAAGATATGATGTAATCAAAGATATGGTTGTGAGATGGAAAGAAAGTTTGATAAATATTGGAAATGATATTTAGTTACTCTCTACTTTTATAAAGATGTTTTTGTGGTGTTCATATATATGGAGTTGATTTAATAAATATTTTAAACATCACTTAATTAAGTTTATTATTACGCTCTACTTATGTTATGTAACTTTTGTCCATTGCATCCTTTTTCATAAAATTAAAACCTTAACATTGAAATATGGGTTGGTCTGGTCCATCAAAAACTTGGTCGAACTCAGTTTTGATACCCCATGGAGTAATTGGGTTGACCCATTCCAACCCATTTGTAGGTGTTGGCCTATCGAATCAGTCTATTTGATAGCTCTACTTATAAAAAATTGTGATGCATTGACAGTGTAAAACTTATTACACTGACGGAGCGTGTCAATTAATCTCGTTGGAAATTACTGAAAATTTAGTATTCTAAAAAGTTGTTTTAATTGAATTCTAATTGGGAAACTCTCGATTGGCCCTTAAATAGAAGCGGCTAATAAATCAATAAACCCAAAAATGTTATGAAATAGCCAGAACACGGAATGGGCGAGTGCGGTTCAGTGGACTACATGTCTCCCAAGTGGAGCTTTGGTCACCCGACCAAAGTCCATGTTCATCACAAGCCAACTACGTCAATATGTGGTCGGTGAGATGTCTCTAAAAGGGCTAGTTTTGGTCAAGACTACAAAAGAAACTTCTCCTCCTATTATGTGGGAAGAACAAATCTTCTTATTCCTATGTCATCTCCAAACAGTTAGGTTTGAATTAGGTTGGAAAGGATTGTTCACTAATTTCCACAAAATTAGCATATAGAACCCCTCTTGTGATTGCTTTCGTGAGCTTGGTCTTATATATTGTACTTTTTGCAAGTACAATTGACGCTCACTGTGGAGCCTCGGTAAAACTGATTTGGATCTCAAGCTCAATACATATAAAGTATCATCGTCGATGGCGATAATGACAGTGTTGTTGGTGGCAACTGCGATGAAGATGATGATGATGACGATGATGTTGCTAAACAATGACCACCACGTACAACTGAGCTTGACCTAACATAAAAACCAACGATAAACTCATTCGCACCAGGTTCTGATTTTGAAAATTCAGCTTATGAAATCCTCATATTGATTTGTATGCAATTCTAGATCATTGTCACTAAAAAGCATGGCTAAAAAGATACATGTTATTGGAAAGGCTTGTGTTCCAATCATTATATTGTGGTATTTCCTTTGATATAAGTTTTGACATGGAAAATGGACCTGAGGTTGTCGAGTATATTCAGGTTTGTTTTTATTATTTCAAATACTAGGTTTTGAGAAATATTATCTAATTTTGATTTGAGAAATGGTGTAAATTATTTGAGTATGAAATATATAATTGACTTAAATGTATTTTTGGTCCTCTATTTTAATAATTTTAATTTATTAATCCTCTTATTTTAAAAATTGGCTTTTTGATCCTTTATTTTTCAATCTTTAAACTTTTTTTATCCCCCTCTATTTTTCACATGTGGTTTTTTCCTTTAATACATGACATTGTCATAGGTAAGTAAAAATAGTCATATAAAAAAATGATTAATTGATTTTTAAAATTCAAATTCATCTTCATCTTCTCAATGATATTCATCTTCTCCAACTCTGACTTTATCCAAACTCAAAAAATTTAATCATCACCAATAAAAAAAAAACTTACCCAATTCAAAAATAACTACTTTAAAATCTAATTTCACCTCCAAATAATAAAAAAAATATTTTAATTACATTCAAAATCAATATCAATATTTTACAAAAGAAATCCACGCCATAACTCAATAAGTCCAAAAATATTATAAAATAGACAAAAGATATAACGGTTGGTTTTGATCAAGGCGACTAAGGAAACCGCTTCTCCTATTCTAGAAAATAACTAATATTATTATTTCTCTGTCATCTCCAAACAATTAAGTTTGAATTGATATTTAACCATAGTCTGACTCATCAATCACATTTATAAATATCTTAACCCATAAAATTAGAAGAGATCCTTCACTAATATTCACATAATCAGTATATACAAACTCACTTCTAATCGCTTATATACAAACTCACTTCTAATCGCTTTCGTAAAAAGTCGTCTCTATTGTACTTTTCGAAAATGCATATTTATTTTTAATTTCTTTTATTTATAGAGTATTAAAATAATTCATTATTGCATTTTGGATCATAAATCTAAAAAAAATCTAATCTAAAATTTAAAAAATTAAAGACCAATTTGGTAATTTGAAATTTTTAAAGGGCCAATTTATAGAATTTTAAAAATTATTAAAGATCATTTTGCTATTTTTTGAAAAACAAAGGGTCATTTTAAAAAGAAAAATATTTATTTGTAAGAAAAAGTAAAAACAATAATAAATCTCAATCATTCCTTATCACAACTGATGTTCGCGATCGACCTAATGTGTCTAACGGTATCTTAACTGCAAGTGCACAGCCTATCGCGGTAGTAATAAAAAGATATTGAACCCACAAGGACTTTGTAATCACTCTAGTGCTATAAAGGTTTGCTAGTTTAGCTAAGGCGGATGTTGTCACGTTTGGTTTTTTAGAAGTTAAGGTAAGGGAAAAATAAATCGAATTAAGGGAATAATAATAATAATAAAATGGTCGGTATGTAATGTAGTGAACCTAAGTGGATATAATCGAACCTAAGCATATAAAGATATTTAACTTAAATGGGTCTGTAGAAATTATCAGTTTAAAAACCCTCAACTCACACTCTCGTGGTCTTATCTCATATTATACCCCTAAAGCCCTATGTCTGCTCTCGCTAGCCCATAAGTGTTTAGAAAATACTTTTTGAAAACTTAATAAAATCTAATTCGTTTTAAAGCGCTCTCGCTGTATTTAAATCAAATGCTTAACTTTAACTATTCGGTTAAAATCTCACACTCTCGTGATCTCGACCCTAACCTATTCTACTTTTCTTACTCTCGTAACAAAAAGATTGATTTTAATTATAAAAAGTCACAGCCAAAAATTAAGTTAATTTAGATTTTAGCTTAGGCACAATTTAATCCATTTGATTACTATTATCACATCCCGACTCTAGAAAATTAGCTAGTCATAGTACTCGAAATAGACATACAGAAAATATAATCGAGAAAGAATAAAGCATTCATGATAAAATAAATAAATAAATAAACGTAAATAAATTATATTAAAATTTAATGCGATTAAAAACCTGAATAACAATATTATTCCTCAAGCTCCCTCTTCCACAAGTCGGCAAGATTGGAACTTCGAAATCGGAACTTGAAACAAATTCTGAGGCTAAAAAAATAAATTCTGACTACAATAGCAATTTCCTAATGTTGGAAATAGCTATTAATTGGTAAAAAAAAAGGGAAAATAAAGCAAGAACAAAAAAAATGCAGTATTAAATTTGGCAGGGCTTCGACAAGAAAATCTGTAGCAAAAACTCTCTCTTGTTCCATTAAAATGCCTCTTATTTATAGAAGAGGATTCTTGCAGTTAAGAGAATTTAGGAACGTGGACTTGCACTGCTTGAGTGGAGGAAGACTTGGACTGTTCGTTGCTGAAGTTGAGAAATTGTAGGAGAAGAAAACATCAATTACGTTGCCACGTCTTTTATTTTGCATGACACTGAATTACGCGTGTGACGGTCGTCATGAGGAGGTGACGGTCGTAATGCGCATAAATAGCGCGTTACATTCGTCAATGATGTGTGACGAGCGTTCTTCAGATGTGAGCGCGTTACGCTCGTAACGAAGGTGTGACGGTCGTCATGACATCAAAGTTTGCAGATTTTTGCAGATTAGTTCTTTTTCTTCTGATTTTTTGATTAGCTTTCTTCATGTGATCCTTTTTCACTAATTTGACTTGAAACATGTTGTACCTGTGAAAAGACATAAAAACTCAGAACAATAGGGAGTTAAATGGATTAATGCATTATAAAAATCGATTAAAAATGTAGCAATTATATGATACGATTTCTCGTTATCAACAACTACCCCATGATCTCTATTAAAAAAGAAATTTAATTTATAACAAATTAAAAGTTATCCACTAAATTAATAATGCATTCACATTCATGTGTTTCTTGCTCAAATTCTTTCGTCCTAAATAGTTTACTCTTTTAAAAAACATAGGGGACCGAATTAAGGGTCATTTCAAAATATTAGAGCTTTCTAAAATGAGACCGAAACATCTTTGCAATGTATCGGAACCGTGTTTGACCATATAAACGTGTCCAATGTTTCTCAACATAGAACCAAACATCCACTTAATCCACCAGAAAATCAATTGCATCTCATTAAACTAGCTCTCTAATTAAGCCTGTTCAATGGTTGCGACACAAGAACCATTGTTTGAAGAGAATAAACCATTGCACGAAGAGAAAGAGAACTCATGCTAGATCCTCTGTTTACACCACATTTATTAGAGTGTGATAGAGAGTTATCAATTACTAACAAAATGTTTGGATCTGCTTTGTTTTGCAATCAAATGCACCAATTCAAAGCTCAAAAAGCATGGAGTTAAACTTACCAGTGTCACCATGAAATTACAAATTTCCAGACACACTAAATATAGGTAACGCGCCAATATTAGAAAGTTATTGATAACCAGATATTAATGTTATTACATACAAACCACAACTTTTTGATAAGCCTGGTAAAAAAAACCGATTGAATCAACTTGTCATGAAGTTTTGCTTCACATGTTGTCTTACAAGCATAACAACAATGGCTATAAGAGGTTTCTTAACAATAGCCATACCAATAAACTCTAAACCTTCAGCTTCTCTCGATATGTTTTCAAAGGTCAAGCACATTTTCTGACATGGTATTACATCCGATGGATGTTCATCCCATTAATGCCACATGTGAAGTCTGGCTCATCAACCGTGTGCACCAAAAGCTTGGGGTCCGGAGATTCCAATTCGAGTAATACCTGTACATTGGTTGACAAGGGTGCAATCACAGTTGCACCATCAATCAATGATATTATTCATTTAGAAAAAGCAAGTTACTTAATGACAGCTACAAGTGAGGCAGAGAAATTGAAGCTTCCTTGAAGTTGAAGTAACACTTAAGCTAACCCGTGATGACATAAGATAGATAAACTCACATTATATATAATAGCTATTTTCAAGACGTACCAAAATATTATCTCCATGTTTAAGGACTGGAGCAGGAACATAGAGACTGCACTGTGGTCCTTTCAACTATTAAAGAACCATAAATTGATGTTTGAATGAGAGAAAAAAAATCATTTAGATAGATAATGGAGTATTTAAATCATGTAACGTAATCGCAAATATAATTGATTCAAGAGTAAAAAAAAAAGTATTTTACCGGCCAATATCTTCCAAGATTGAAGTCATTAACAAACACGATGCCTTTTCCCCAATTGTTGAATGACAAAAATGTATCCTTGATCCGACTTGATCTCTCGATGAAGAAGTGTCCTGAATAAAAAGCAGGTTCTTTTGATGTATTTTCTGCAAAAGAAACAAACACTTACATTATCAATATAAAATCCAATGAAGTGATGATTGAGTATAATATGAGATACAAATAGAACAGTGATTGGAAAAGTATCATGTTTTTCTTTCCATGTGTATTTTGGCACATACCAGACTTGTTCATCAACATTTTCCTGGAGGTTGATATTTCACTGAATGCAGAATATGTAGCCTGCGTGATGGGATTATAATTTGGAACTTCGTTTAGATTGTGCAAAGGAATAGGGAACATTCTCCATCCTTGTACTCTATTCCTATCCAGATAAACTGATGACAGAATGCCCTGTAGAAGTTGTGGCAAAGATCAACCAATCATAATCAAACCCTTAGAGAAGCATCACCATATAATTCATATTATGACTTTTACCTTCTTATCGAAAATGAAAGGCCCGTAATTTACACGACCCATATTTTCAACCTACATAAGGTGTGAAGAATAGAAAACGTTCAAAATCCCATGAAATATTAAAAGCAGAAGAAATAAGAATACATTAAAAAAAGGTATATACCAAAATATATAAGTTGATGTTAGAATGGCATTGAAATTCAGGGAGGCTGAGTTTTTTATTCAACCATCTTTCCACAGTACCAACATAAGTTGGTCTTGCACCCCTTCCTTCAGAAGAACATGAGATAAATACTTGGGCTCTGTCATGCACCTGCATATTGACAATTCTAATATTCAGAAAAGCTAAATTCTTCTAGATAGATAAGACATTCTCTAAACTTTATTGGCCAACAGAAATACGATGAAACCAGATAAAAAGCAAAGAGAATTAATGAAAGGGTTCAATCAGCACCTTTGGTATGGACAAAATTCTTCTCCCTCTCCGTGCTTCGTATTCAGTGACATACAATAAAAAACCAAAAAACTGAACACACATGCATGAAGCTTCAATAGTACTCCCTCCTGTCTCAAATATAAGCAACCAAAAAAGAATTCTATGGTCTTAAATATAAGCAACAAAAATCTATAATTATTGCATTCAATGTAACTATTCCAAATATACCCCTATAATTTTTTACATTTTAATGTTTGCAACAATTTCCAAAGTAAAAAGTAGGGGTAAAATTAGAAAGAGTGTAAGAATTAAATGCATTGAGACATTCTTCTTAAAGGGTGAGCTTTTTTGTAAATTTGCTTATATATGAGACCAGAGGGAGTATACCATTTAGGGAATTTGCATTAGCATGAACAGCAACAACATACCTGGCCCACATTCTCCATTGACATCGGATTTTTTGATTCAAAAGCATTGGAAGAATTGGTGAAATCAAATAAAGAATATTGTCTTTGTAAGTGGATTGGTCCATATGTTGCCTTTTCATTATCAGAAGGAATAGACGGAAGAGGTACAGAGCTATATCGGGCTATAACCCTCCGAATTGCTGAAATGTATATAAACTCGTATAAATAGAGATTACAATCTATCCAGGTAATTACAACAAATAATTACAACTAATGAGAACAAATCAATTTTTGGTTTGTATAGTCTATTCTAGGAACAAATTAATAAATGCAATTGAGAAGGAAAATGAATTCTTGATTTAACATTAATATGCAAGTAGAAAGTGATTAAAGTACTAAGCATTATAGACCGTAAATTCTTCATAATAACTTGAAAATTGTAGGAAGTTGTTGAGATCGAACAACGACTAGAGGTTTGCCTGAATTATCTTCATAAGGCTTCGGTAACACTCACCAAACTTGCTTTTATTGTTGAGTTAGGCCCAAATCCAACTTCTAAGATAGTATCACAGCCTACTCTAGATTCTGCTGTCGTAAATGTCCAGGACCAAGTGTGAGGGGGTGTTGAGACTCAGATTGGATAGTGATATGACTTGAATAATGTTTATTGCGGGTCAAATCTCACCCTATGAGCTAGCTTTTAGGATTCAGTAAGACTTAAAGTCCAAATTATAACCTATGAGAACTAATTTAGCCATATCTCTAACTGGTTCGGAATCTCAGCACATCCTTCACGTCCTAATAACAGATTAACAGAGGTATTTAGGGCTATGGTTAAGACCCTCCACTAAAATTCACTAAAATTCTGTGTATTTTTATAATATTTTAACTTTTCTCCAAACATTACATTTGCAGCTTCTACAGGTTCAGGATTCATTACATACTGATGCTAATAGGTCCTATAAGCTAAATAATTTGTAAGAGAAAAAAGGGAACACAATGCTTTATTACTCAGAGATGTCAGAGACTCAAAGCAAGCTCTCCCATGGGAATGCTTCCCTTTTAGAACTGAGAGATCAGTTAGGTGTGAACGACTCCAAAGACGCCCCTCCTTCTCGGGGGCCTTTTCTGCTTATGTCTCAACTAGACTCTAGTTGAGACATAGACCCTAGGTTGCAATCAAAACTCACACTTAACTGTCCAACCGTCTGTATTACCCTCTTCCTCCAAGAGTAACATATGCCTCTGTTGATCTGTATCACATGTGGATAACATTTTCAATTTTTTGCAATCACGGTGCCAGTTTGCAACTTAAGTTGAACTGTGAACTAGAGTAGTTCAAGGTCTTGTTGTTCCCTAGTATGATGTAGCAATGAAGAGCAGAGCAAGTTTACTACATAAAATGTCTTTCTCAGAAGATGACGTCCATATCAACCCTCAGGTGGGGAGAATGGAAATCTAGCTCAGGCTTCGAGTTACTATTTCACCTCAGTGACTAATTATTGTTTGTACGTCATGCCATTAAAACATACTCTGAGGTAGGGATGTGCAAGTACTCACAAGAAAAATGGAAGCTTATAAAAAATATGACCAATAAACTGAAAAGTAGAGTATTGATAACGCTTGAAAATAAGAGAAAAACAAAATTCATACCATTGAATTTTGAATTGTCAACATCACCAGCTTCCGTGATCGGGGCATCCTGCATTTGAGATAGTCCAGTTAGTTATGTGCATACCACAATTCAAAGTACAAGATGAAAACATAAGTTAAAAAAAAAAATCCTTACATAATCGTATGAAGTGAGATCAGGCTTGTAGTCAGCCTCGTCTGCACCAGTATTTGCTCCATTATAAAATCCGAAGTTTGAACCACCATGTGCCATCTGAAAATTAGAAGATCCAACTCAAATGGACCAATCATAAAGTGATTTTCAAACATTACGAAGGCATAGGTTGCGACAGACATATAGGACTGCAGAACCATTTTTTTTCAAAATTTCTTCAAGGGCGGCTGCTGTGGAATCAGCATCAGTCTTAGCATTTTTCTCTCCCCAATGTGTAAGCCACCCAGTGTAAAATTCGCTGATAAGACAGGCACTCTCAGTATATAGAATAATAAACAAAAATAGTAGTCCACACTAATAAACTTACGCCGACAAAGGTGGTGATTTTCCTGGGGCATTGAACTCCTTCTGTAACTTGAATATGGGCCAAGGATCATCACCGGTAGTGAAGTCAACAGCTATAAAAAGATAATAAGTATTAGGTTATATAATCATATATGGTCAAAGCAACGGATGCCACATAGTGATGCCGAGATATGTAGTTAAATGTCAACATATGTCAATTCACTTATCTGCAAGGCTCCAAATGTAGCGAAATGAGATACTAAAGAAACAGAAGATTAATATTGGGAAGGAGGGAGGGAGAGAAAGAGAAGATAGATCTTTGTAAGACCTTATAAACATCATCACTTATATTATTGGAATTTCACCTGAAAAGACGGTATCTCCACGAATAGTTCCTTTTTCAAGATTTTCTCTGGACCCTCCATCTGTAGTGTATCTGACAACAGGAAACACAGAAAAGAATAATAAGAAAGGAGATCTTCCTGTTCCTGACTACCCTTGATATTGCACTTACCATAATCAGGTTAAATTTAGGATTTTGTGGGTATACTCGTACACTATAGAAGTTCAAATTCAGTTTCATGTTGTAGTTTCATACCAACCTACCCATTAAAAAACTCAATACCTTACAATTAACAAAATGAAAACCATTGAACATTATCTCATTTATCTCTCTTGTTGGGAGTTTTGAGGGAGCCTGAGAGCAAGGGACCTGCCCCAATGGGCCAAGTAACAAACCAGGAATAGGAACTTGACATCACATCTTCACACAAAAGCTTACGGCATTTGGAGTACAAGTCTACTCTCTTATTTCGTCTTCATTTAGCTATATCTAGTCGATGGCCCTTCTAGTCTAGGACAGGACTGGATGAATAGTGTTCAGACACCTATATGAGTGGCCCAATATTGGGTTTAGGACATATAGAATGTTAGAATATGATAACTATAGTTTTGGGTGAACAACTGCATAAGTATTTAGGAGGAGTACATTGACCATTTATCTAGCAAATGTAAGATCTTAACACACACCCTAGTCACAAATCTAGCTAATGTGAGATTTTGACAATCTCAGCCTTAAAAAGGTCACTCTACAAGTGTGTGCAGGTAAGAGGGGGAGTGGGCCTTGTCAACTACGGTCTTCTATCATAAGATCTACAATTCTACATCTTATTACAGCGGAATACATCAGTTCAAGAACAATGAGAGATAAGCTTAAAAAACATAAAAGCACATACAAAATAGCATTATGCCCAAGATGACTTCTAGCTAGTGTGATCAGGGATTGAAGATATGCTTTGTCATCTCCATACGAACCATATTCATTTTCGACCTGAGTCAAACAATGTCATGTATTAATCTATATCCCCTTTCATGAGATAAATGGCTAAGATAAAGATTCAAAAGAGAAGCATTACATAAATCTTTAAAATATTCAAACACAGAAACTTAAAGTCCTAAACCAACACAAAAATTCAAGCATTTTAAACCTCAATAATAGGGAATATCTTTGTATTTAGACAAGCTACCTTCCACTAAATGCTAACAAATGATACATAATTTTAGTTTTTGAGAAACAAATAGATGAAAAATGTTAGAATACTGACTAGGATTCCTACGGTTATCGAGTCTTATGATGTTAGTGGTCTTAATGGGCTGGGCTTGTATCAGTCTAGTTCAACATACAGTATTAGTAATGAACCAAGATTATTAGTGATAGTGGTATTAGTGGTTGGCCTCTAACATATATCATATTAATTATTCAGAATGACTTCTTATTTTCCATCAAAACCCTGTACTTTCGGTATGGGAATTCTTCCATTTTCCAACATAAGTACCTAGACTTTCTGTTTCTGAAATCAGAACATACTTTATGCTTTGCAAACATCTAGTATAATAATGTCAATCAGACAACTAGGATTTTCCAATTCTACCAAAAAACAACATACCTGAACCATTATTATAGGGCCACCATTGTCATATAGGAGAGGAACAAATTTTGGAAGCAGCTTGCCCCACCATCTTTCAACCTTACATAACAAACTATAATAAGTGCAAACCTCAACAATAGTAATGAATAAACACATAAAGACTTATAGAAATGTTTTCAAGAAGATAAATGTTTTAATGAATGTCATAGTTTTAGATGCACAATCCAGCAACAACCAAGCCTTATCCCACTAAGTGGGATCGGCTACATGGATCAACTTTCGCCATAATGTTCTATCCAACAATGCCTACAAAAAGCCATCAGCACAATAATCACAAGGGTTTATTTAACCTATTCCTTGTAAGCCACTAACACATCGTTACAGTGAAACCACTGACTAATTTCACCTTTTCTTTCCGGTAAATAACTAACTTATGATTTAATTAAGCACAGCCTGTGACCGTGACCGTGATGCATGGTAGTCAAAATCGTGATCCCACTCGTAGGATCGTACGATTTTGAGATCTTGATGGGCTTGGGCAATCCTGTGAATACGGTTGGGGCTCGATGGGGTTGTTTCGGTGGTAAATGCTGGCCCAAAGGGAGAAAGGAGGTAAAAACAATCTTGACCTCTAGGCTTGTATGACTCTCGCATAAAAAGAAAATAATGCAAGCTAAATAAGAGATAGAAATCTTGAAGAGAAAAACATAAAACACAAATCCAACCACAAGATTAGTGATTACGAAGTTGGTTGCAATGTAGATCAATGTTATCATAAGATATAATAAGGATAGCATACCAGGTTAAGAAAAGCAGGATCAGATGATCTTAGTTTGGGGGATGGGTTCATGGAAGATAACCAACTTGGGAAACCACCCCAGTCCCACTCTGAAATAAATCACGGTTGTTGTCATCATATTGAATTCTTGATCATCATATTTAACAAAGTATCAACACCAATGCACATGGAAATTGTAAGGGGAAATAAAGTAAATTGTAAACAAAGAGAAAATAAAATATCAAAATAGAAGGCTTATAGAACTGTAAATATTAGCTCACAGCATATGCAATGCAAGCCAAGTGATATTTTTCTTAAATTAAAATAATTATGCCAAAAGTTGACATTGGTTAGCTATACAAAATTTGGATTGTGTTGTGCATGGCTCTTATCGATGAAAAATTTAGTGGCTCTGCCCCCGAAAGGACATTGCCGAACCTCGTTGAATCTGTTTTGCCATTTTCTTGCATTTACCCTGTTCCTGTTTACTTTAGATACCAGTTGCTGTGTGCAATAAATTGACGTCATGAATCACCAGTTGAATTATCTTGTTTGACTGTATTATTAGGGAGAAATGACTATTGTCATGTCATCATGGATCAGGATAAGGAATCATACATATCTACCGGATAAAAAAGTCATGATAGAGAGATCATTGAAGTTTATAATTATTGACAAACAGATTGCAATTATGCATGATAAAGGGAAAGCAATGTAAGTGAATTTAATATCTGTCAGTTATGATGTTTATAGAACAGAAATGCAATGTAATTAGAAGAACAAACACATATATCGGAGAAGTACAATTAAAAAAAGATTTTACAGCTCAATTATTTAGCTCAATCACTCAAACTAAAAGGCAAGGGAAATGATGGTTTTGAGACCGGAGAAATGTGGTTTACAATTTCAATTTAAGATTTTCTAAATATTATTATAAATTTCACCAAGTAAATCTAATGTAATTATAATATGCCATAAAATCTGGTTAGATACTACTGAATAGAAAAATCAGTGGCAAAATTTAGAAATAGCATTCTTTATGCACAACCATCAAATGAACTTTAGAAGATCTAACTTCACAGAAATTTGCAGGATAAGGGCTTATAATTCTGCTTTCTTGTTATAAGAAATATATAAATCTGAGAGGACATAACAAAATTACATTATTCAATGCCATGGCATACATGAAAACCAGCAAACTATATTTTACCAAACAAACTAAAAGGTCAAATGGTAAAGAGAGAAACTAGGTATTTGTTTAGGTTATGGGAGAGCTAACCTGCACATATGTATGGTCCAGGTCGAAGCATCACCAGAAGATCGAGTTTGTGACAAAGGTTTAGGAATGATTCAATATTTGCAAAACCCTCAAAAACAAGCTTTCCTGGTGTTGGTTCATGCAAATTCCAAGGAACATACGTCTGAATTGTGTTCAAGCCCAATGCCTTGGCTTTTAACAGTCTATCTTCCCAATACTGCAAATTAGAAGGAAAATGGTATCACCATATGAAACCGTTTAAAACAAATTACTTTGATGTCTAAAAGAATAAAGAGCATGACTTCATTCATCAATCTGTTTTATCCTTATGAGGATGATATGAAGATTTCAAGAGGTGTGAGATGCAATGACAGCTAGATCCACTTTCTTGGTCTGCTTTAACACTACAGTTATTATGTCTGAATTCTAATGTAAGAAAGACCGTAGAAAGAATTTGACTGGAAGCCAACTTTTCTAAAACAAATTGGCCATTTTCAATTAAAGAGATCAAAATTGGTGAATATAGTAAAGAAGTTTCAATGCATGCGTAAATTTTCATAGCCAATTATTTTTCAAGTTTATATCAGATCTCTAGTTTCTATCCTCATGAAGAACATGAAAAAAGCAACGATCTGATAAAAAGACCTTCACAGCAGAACATAGTTGGACCAAGATATCTATGATGCCTATACCGATTGCAAAGTTTCCACCATTTCTAACGATGGCTTGATATGGGAAAAAATTCAAAGCATATTGACTCCTACTGACTTGTAAATTAGCAGGCAAATATTCTTTTAAAAAGTAAAAAATCCTCCTTTCGCAATTCACTTGTGTCCCATCACTTCAAAATGTCGGTGATTATATACATAAAAATACATGAAAAGAACCAAAAATGCAACAGTATTGCCATTGACAAGAATCCAATTTTGATGTGCACTATTGACAGTTTTCAAAAATCTGTCTCACAAAATTAATAGGACATGTCAACAAGATGTGTACCTCCGGATGCACTCGAAAATAATGCAAGTCACCACCAATGATCCGAAAAGGTTCACCGGCTTTCCAAAACATATCATCTGCAATCTCAAACTTCCTATGAACCTGATTAAAACAATCAAAGGGGAGCTAAGTTGGAAAACATCAAACAAACTATAGATCAAGTTACCTCAAAATGGTAAAAAAAAATAATAACATTATATGACACAATTAAAAACAGCTAAAAATTAAACACATTTTCAGTAACAATTAAAATATCACTCATTCAACAAGGGGAACAATTTATAGCAACTATAATCACTCTATCCTTATTCTCCTATCAATTTGGGAAGAAAACCTAAAAATCAATCATTGAAAAAAATAACTATTATTAATTGTTCAGATTAATTTATAGCATTTAACAAACATATAGAGAGTTGGTTGAAAAAACAGAGCGAGAAAGTATATGAAAGTAAGAAAAGCAATTGCGGCGCGAAAAGAGTAAAGGAATGTACATTTTTGGGATGAGAATGATGGTGGTGATGGCGAGATTGAATAGAAGGAAGTGGAGCGAAAACGGGAACGATTACAAAGGCGCAGAAAGCTATGAAAGAGATGAAGATGAAGAGAATGGTAGCTTTGGAAGTTCGGTTCTTCGCCATCGCCGGTAGTGTGGAACTACCAGAGTTGGTCTTCTTTGGTCGCACTATCATTCACGTCAACTGTGGAATATATTTCATTACCAAGTTTAATTTAATGTTATTTCTAGAAATTATTTTTCATTTTATTTTATTTTTGAAAAAACTAAATGTGTTATAAAAAACTGATTCATAGTTATTTTGCCACCCTTACTTCTATCAATCTTAAAAGCATTTTTATTTCACTTCAACTTGAAATTTGATTTTTTTTCATCAAGTTATTTTTTCAAAATCATTTTTTCTCCTCCAAAATCAATTCTCTTAGAAGCTACAATTCATAGTTTTTGAGTTTAGTAAAATAAATTTTATATTATTATATTTTATTTATTATAAATCTTTTTTAATTTTTCTTTTTTATCCTTTTTAATTTTCATTAATTACTTCTTTTCTTTTTTACTTATATTAAATTTATTACCATTTTGATAATTATATATTCAAAATCAATTTTGATAAAACTATCCAAACAACGTTAATTGATAACAATCATTTTTATATTAGTAAATTTAAATATAAATCATTTCTACTAAATTCAATTTTGTTAAAATCAATTCTATCAAACTTAATTATCTCAAAATCAATTTTGTCCAACGTCAATTCAAACACACGCTAAATGTTTGTTTGGTTATACATCACAAAAATTAATTTTAAATAAATTAAATTTTTTGTGGGAATTAAGGAGGGACTAAGCCTAAAAGAGATAATTTATTCTATTACAATCCTTGTAAATGAGGTTCCAATAAGGTTAGCTACATAAAACTCATATATTTCTCGAGGACACTCAAGAAATAAACTATCTTGCACACAAGTTGCTTTTTGCTTTCATTTTAGCAAGACTATATGCATAATTGTTGACTTTTCGATAGATGTGTATCACTCGAATCTCTAAGTTATTTCTCAAGAATCTCTTAACATTGCTCTGCAAGCCCATTCCTTGTTGAAGTGGTATGTTATATTCTCTAAGAAATTGGTAGATCTTCATACAATCTATTTGAATTACCACTCGGTTAAACCTGTTTTCTTAAGCCAACTATAATCCTTCCCACACTCCCCACAATTCAACAACTATCATAGAGCACCTGCCTAAATTCTTTGCAAATCCAGTCAACCATTCATCATTTATGTCCCTTAGGACACCTCTATATTCAGTTTTCTCTAAATTGATCATTGTCATTTGCATTAAGTGCCACTCAATCATCTTTATGAGAATTCCACTTAAATTATCTGGAAACTCTAGGTTTTGTGAAATCAAGCTTTTCAAGTGTTTTGATGAAGACAAGCTAGCATGCAAAAATGAATGGATCAAGATAGAAGATTTATCTCAAGCAAAGATTCATTGATCAAGATCAACATTTCAAGACTTATGGCTTAAGGTATACGAAATTTTTGATCTTATGCTCTTAGTGCTCAAAACTATTTTTAATCATGGATTTAATTTATTAAAATAATATTTTGAGTATATACTAAGTATGATTAAAGAAGGATAGTTTAAATTGTTTAAAATCTTTGAAAATAATGTTTTTTCAATTTTTGTACTGAAGAAATCGATTGTCATAAAACGACAATCGGTTGCATCCAAGAAACATTTCATTTTGTTTGACTTGCAATCGGTTATCGTCTGGCAGCAATCGATTGTCATGTGTTTTATTTTCAAATTTTTTGAACGTTGACTTTAGAGCAACCGATTGCTCCTCAATGACAATCGATTGTCCTAGTTATAATTTTCAATTTTTTAAAACGTTGCTATGCTGCAATCGATTGCTGCTCTGGTGCAATCGGTTGTTGTGCCTTAAATTTTGAAAAAAATTATTTTTCCAGCAACCTTTGGTAACACCTTTTCATGGCAATCCTTGTATCTTTTCATATACATTGTTTTAGTAAAAATGGTCTAAACATTGTTATGTTTCATTGAAAAGGCATTACTACACTATAAATTATTTTCACTTTAGAATTTTGAAAAAAAATCAAAAATACATCAAAAATTATACAACAACAATCACTAACAACTTTCTTATTTTTGATTATACTCTTTATACTCAAGATTTTGTTCATCATTTTCATATGCATTCTGAAAATTATTCTTGAGCACTTAGAAGAGTATTCCATCTTAAATTTCATATTGATAGAAAAGATCAATCAAGTGATTGACATTGCTCTTTCATCATTCAAACTATTATACAAATCAAACAAACTATTGTATACTTGTTTTCAGTATTGTTGGAAACAAGAAAGTCACTTAGAGAGGATTGTTCTTTTTGTGGTCTTAGTGAAAATCCAAGAGGATTGTTCTTGGTCCAAGAGGATTATTCTTGGCTTGTTAGGTAGTCTTGTACAAATTACCAACAATAAGGAAATCTCTTTCATGTTGAAAGGGGACTGGAGTACTCTCGGACTATGAGGGGAACCAGGATACATCATTGTGTTCTTTACTTTCCGCATTTACTGCTTTCATCACTTATCAGAAAAAGAAAGAAAAGAAACACTTGCAAAAATATTCATACAATTCAGAAAAAGTTTTAAAGAACCTAATTCACCCCCCTCTTAGGCGCATCTGAACTTACAATTGGCATCAGAGCAGGTTATAGGTAACTTGTTCCTACTAGATCCAGAATGGCTTCCGCAAACAACAATTATGTGTTCAGAGATGGTGGCAGTAACAACAAACCTCCTCTATTCTGTGGTGAATATTTTGATTTCTGGAAGATCCGTATGAAGGCTCATCTAGAAGCACAAGGAGAAGAAATATGGGATGTTGTCCAAAATGGTCCTTTTATTCCGGTAACTGTTGTGAACGGCGTTGGTTCATCAAAACCTAAAACCGTATGGGATGATGATGATAAGAAAAAGGTCTTGTATGACAAAAAGGCAATAAACCTCCTTCAAAGCGCACTTAGTATGGATGAATTCTTCCGTGTCTCAGCATGTACAACGGAAAAAGAGATTTGGGATACATTGGTTGAAATACATGAAGGAACAACTGAAGTTAAGAGATCGAGACTTAATACGTTAAGTCAAGAATATGAATTGTTCCGCATGCAACCCGGAGAATCCATTCTTGATTTACAAAAGAGATTTGTGCATCTAACAAATCATCTAAGGGCACTTGGCAAAACATTGACTAATGATGAATTGAATCTAAAAGTGCTCAGATCCTTGATTAGAGAATGGAAACCAAAGGTAACGGCAATCTCAGAAAAGAAGAGTCTCGCTACTATGACATCCGCAACCTTGTTCGGAAAACTTCAAGAATACGAGACAGAACTTGGTAGATTGGAAAAGCGTGAAAATCAAGAAAAGAAGTCTAAGAACATTGCCTTGAAGATTGACTCCAAGGAAGACGAAAAGAAAGATAATCCTGATGAAGATGAAAACTTCATGCTTCTCGTTAGAAGACTTGGAAAATTCTTTGGTAAAAATGACAAAGCCTTCTCGCACTCAAAGAAGAAGAAACACTTCAAGAAGAAGGAAGGATCCTTATCAACACAAGAAGTTACTTGTTATGAATGTGGTAAACAAGGTCACATCAAACCGGACTGTCCAAAACTTTCAAAGAAAAGTGGCTACAAAGGAAAGAAGGAATCAAAAGATAAGAAAGCATATGTTGCAAGGGAAGATGTTGAACTGAGTTCGTCTTCCGACTCCGATAGCGACGAAAGTGCCAATCTTGCATTAATGGCCTCACACCACTCCGAAAGCGAAGATGATGAGGTTAGTAACGTATTTGTTAGAACATAGTTTGATTCTACAACCCTTAATTAGAGTTTTGATGATAACAAAATACAAGAATAAATAAATTCAAAGATATATATATATATATATATATATATATATATATATATAACAAATATGCTACTTAAAATTATGTTCTGTATTTACAGAAGTTCTGATGAAATCAGCATCAGAAGATCATATCAGCATCAGAAGATCAATAACATGTGCTACACGCTGAAGTTACCAGATCATACATTGAAACTTGATGACCAGAATCTGCGCATAAACATATACACTCTGACTCTGATCAAGATCCTTACCAAGTCATCAGCACTCAGAAGCGTCAGCATAAGCTAAAGCAAAGAACACTCTGATTATCATAAAGAACACTCTGATTATCATAAAGAACACTCTGAAGCGTTACTAAGTATTCAAGACAGATTAATTGCTAACGGCTCTCTTCAAGACAAGATCTTCTAAAAAAGGAAAGAACGTTATTATCATTGAAAGTGATTTATGGACAACAACGTATCTTTGCCTTGGCTATATAAACAAGTCTGTGTAAGAAAAGAAAAGGCTAATAATCTTCACGCACGCACTCATACATTTTGCTAAGCCTTCAAACCACGCTTACTCAAACGCATTAGCAATCCAGTTTCATTCTAAGCTTAAATTTGTGTATTATCACAGTTGTGGTATACTGTTTTATTATAAACATCAAACACATTATTGTTCAATTATTTGTAAAGAGATTTCCTTGAGATAAACCGGTTTGTGGTTATACTCAAGAAGGTTTTAACAGTTGTTAAAGTAGTTGTTGTATCCCTTTGAATATAGTGGATTAATACCTCGTTGGAGAAAGGAGAAATCACCTTGACGGGTGGACTAGAGTAGTTTGAGATCAAACGAACCAGGATAAAAATACAGTGTTGTTTAAGCTTTTGATTTAAGTTTTACAATTCAACCCCCTTCTTGTGTTTTTCACATCTTCAATTGGCATCAGAGCGCTTGGTTCTAAACTTATAACACTTAACCCTGTCAGTATAAGATCCAGCGTCAGAAAAACACAATGGCAAGACCAAATCAAAACATCAGCAATGACAACAATGAAGAAAGAGACAGATTCAGTGGCAAACCTCCAGTCTTTGATGGAGAGAACTTTGACTACTGGAAAGACAGAATTGAGAGTTTCTTTCTGGCCCATGATGTTGATCTGTGGGACATGGTGACTGATGGATACACGTACCCAGTGGATG